TCTCTCTCTCTCTCTCGCTCTCTCTCTTTGTCATCATACTTTTACTTAATGATCATGAACGTGAAGGACATTTATTCTCTTGATGTTTTGATCGAGACCCTAAAATGTTTGCTAAACCTAAGCTTTAGATTCTTTCATGGCTGTGAGTAAGAAGAGGAGCTCTTCCTTGAATTACGAACCAGACAGCATATGTGGTCAGTGTTTTAAAACATCAAATGAAAACAAAAACGAATAGTCAAGTCACTCTTAACCACACGGTTGATATGCAAGCCGCTATCGCAGGTGGTACAACAGTCGGACATTTGAAGATTACAGGTTCTACAACTTATTTCAAGCTTATTCAACTTTATTCAAATTTCAGTCTAATCTCACAAATTATCCAGTAAGGATGTCTTTGCATGCTTATACACATAAGCCTACGATTAGCTGGGTAATTTATACATACAGTGGGTCCAGAAGTGCCTAAACAAATACTTCCACTCCATAAACAAATGGATGATTAATTGTCAACTACACCAGCTATGAGTCACATCCATGTCAGTAAGTACCCTACCTTATTTACTTGCGTTATCATATACAGTAATATACATACAGTACATATAGTATATATATAGTTAACATATATACCTTGCCAATACATTGCTTGAGGAATGTCCACACACTAAAGTTATTTCTTGATATGGCTGGTGCCGGTAGTTTTTTCCTGCAAAACATCCAATTAAGAAAAGTTGCTGAAATAAAGATCCCCTTCTCCATTTTGTTCAACGTTTTTTTTTTATAGAATTACTTGTAATACGACATAGGACAATAGTAATGACAACAATAATCATTATAAATGAAAGTGTCAGTGACACTGTAGCTCACCTTGGGTGTGATAGAAGAGGGAGGGGGGATATATAAAGCAAGAGTATAATGGGAAAACTCCCATTATATAGCATATCTCCCATTATAATTATACTCTTGATAATGATATATGCATAAGTTTTGATGCGAAAATAAATGTTTCAGATCTGAAAGTCTGAAATCTTGACGAGAGATGGCGCTACGCCAAAATGATCGCCATTTTGGTTTTCGAATATCGCGCAAATAAAAACAATAAAATATTCCAGTCAAATTAGTGTAACAAAAAATCTAAAACACAATATTACACGTATATAGGTATGATTGTAGAGTTGTGGACCAGTTAGACAAAATAAACGTAATGGGGCGTTGTCGTCTCTCCCATAGGAGTAACAACTGTTTTGGGGCTAGCCTTACACATTCACATACCAAAATTTAACAAAATCGAATGAACTTAGATGGCCAATTTCAATTTTGATAAAAAGTGGGCGTGGCTCGAAAGTAGGTCGACTGGCGTGCTCCAAAATAGGAAGTTCAAATCTCTCCTATAGGCGTAACAACTGCATGCAATTTGAAACATGTGGGTCAAACGGTTCTTGAGTTATCGTTGACCATATGCAGACACTGAAATGCATAGTGAAATTGCCAAAAATCTACCTAATTTGCATAATTAAAAAAAAATCAAAACCTGTGTGATATGTTTTGGGGCCAGTCCTCATTCATTCACATGCCAGAAATGAGCAAAATCCATTGAGCCTGAACTGACTTATGGCCATTTCCTCCACGGTTCCTGAGTTATCGTTGACCGTAGCCAAATGTTGACGGACGGACGTACGTACGACGGACGACGACCCATGGCAATAGCTCAGCTTGACGATGTCAAGGTGAGCTAATGATGATGATGATGATGATGATGATGATGATGATGTTCATGATGATGACAATAATATAAATGAGGATGATATGATGACAAAAATAATAATAAAAATGTTGTGCTAATAATGAATATTGTGGTATGCACATTGAAGACATATATATATATATGTATATATATATATATATCTATATAATATATATATGTATATATATATGTATATATATATATATACAGATGTTATTTCTGATACATGAGAGATGCCTCTGGAAGCACTCACAGAAAGTGGTGCTATTGCACAAGCTATACCTTGCTATGTAAGACGAGTTAAATCAGTAAATTGGTAATAGATGGTCTACCTTTCATTGTAGATATAGCCATCAAGTTTGTGCAGGTCTTTGCCAAACCAACCAACAGGCCTAAAGTTGAGCGCTGCCTTGTGTCTAGTCCTTAGATTAGTGACTTGTAGTTGTCCTACCTGTAAGTGCCAAGGTTTACACCTGTTATGAAATACCTGTTATACGGTAGAAGTGATATTCGTTGAAAACATCAGGGAGATACTAGAAGCTATTCGTTTGTGTAGATTATTCACAAGCAGTGTTTGCTTTTTTACGTGTTGCGATATACAGGTCTCACACGCATGGTACCGTATCAAATTCATTTTACACGAGGAATAGGGGAGGAAGGAAGAAAACAGCTTCACAACAAACGCTAATATGTGCCTTCTAGCTCATAGAAAGGTATTTAATAAAGACATAATTATAAATTTTTCATATTTTTCATGAAACCTGTTGCATACTAATAAATATAAATAAAGCAATTATGGTGGTTATAAAGGGCAATAAGGAAGGCAATAACCTTGAATTAAAAATGTATTTACATGTTGCATTTAAAAAATTCTCAAACCCAACGTCCATTAATTATAGTCGGCCAGAACGTAGTGCAACAACTTAGAACATATTTTTATACCTGCTCAATCCACATGTCTCCAAAAATTACATTATGGACTACGCAGTTGACATGGTTAAGCTGGTATACTTCATTTCGCCTGTGATCACAAACAAATTATTTTTAGCAATGCCAACAAAAATCAAGTACATAATGTCGTTCTTCAACGTGCCCCTCTCCAAAATACAATTTGAAACAGGATATTTTTTAATGAGATTTAGAAGGTTAGAAGCCAATTAAGGAATGCATACTCAATCCTATATATATATATATATACGCCTAGAGAGAGCCCGAAACGGGCATTACACAGAATAATAATGTAGTACAAATATCTATCATTATAAAGTTCATAGATCATCTTTTGTTCAAATTCTTTAGTCTTCGTTCACTTTTTTCTTTCATACTGTTTGATTCTCTTTATGTTAAAGCATTCACAAGCTGTAAGCACCACAACATTCCTCCACTGATCAAGAACATTACCACACCTCAGAGCACCTTTGCAGGTATCCTTATATCTCAATTTAGGGCAACCAACAGATCGGAATCCATTTGCTAGCTCGCTGTATAGGAGTGCCTTTGCTGGTCTGTCATTATCCATTCTACAAACGTGGCAAAACCAACGCAGACAACTTCTAACTAGCTTCAACTCAATGTCTTCAACACCTGTTCTGTTCAGGACCTCCTCGTCACTGATGAAATGATCCCATTTAATATGCATGAATAAGCGCAGGTTACGTTGTTTTATTGTTCTCAGTTGTCGAACTTGATGATGGTACAGAGTCAAGGTTTCACTGCCGTACATCAGAAGTGGCATAAGACACTGGTTTTAAACTTTGACTTTAGTGTTTATTGTAAGGTCACGTGAGTTAAACACTTTGACGTAGTCGACCAAATGCACATGTTGCTGCTTGGATACAAGCTGCAAGTTCCTCTTTCATAGAGCAGTAATTTGTTACATAGCTGCCAAGGTATTTGAAGCGGGTGACGTTCGCCAACTTGGTGTCAGCTATGAAGAACTCGGCTTCAGTACCAATGCACATGGTCTCTGTCTTTGCAGTGTTAATAAGTAGTCCCATCTTTTTAGCAAGGTCGTTGTAAGCTGTGAGTAACAACTGTAGTCCCGCTGAAGTGTCACTGAATATGGCTATATCGTCTGCATATTGAGCCTCCCTGATGTACTCAGATCGTCTTTGACTTCAGTCTTCGAAGATCAAATAGATCACCATCATAGCGAAATCTGACCTTTACACTGCAGGTGTGCTTGATTTTCTTATAAGCAAGGCAAAGTAACTCAATCCCTAACGTGCAGAATTAGAATAATTAATTAATTGCCATGGCAGCAGCGTGGGGTGTGTGTGTGAGCATCTGCTATATCTTGACTATACTACTACTGGTACATATCTTGCCTGTGCACATAATAGCTATGTGTTGACTTACTCTGTAAGCTCAATCGTTAACTGTCCATCTGGATTAATTTCTATAGATTTTCCCCAAAACTTCAACTTCGGATGCACAGAGCCTTGAAGTTTATAGCGTCCCGTTGTTGACTCGGCTTGGAGGGCGCTGATTGGTGGATGGTGGCTAACTTGCTCTAGCAACACCCGAAACCCATTGTCCAGCCTGCATATAGAAGAAACTGGTCATACAAGCAACAACAAAAAAGTAGCCATATTTAAAGTAACACTGATCACATAAACAAACTGCAAATATTCAATCCTAGTACAATAATCATCGCTTTCAGTTTAATGATTGTTGTACGTAACTAGGATAGATACTTCTTAGTAGAGGTGAACTTGAATATACACTTCAATAAGATAGCCAGAATAGAAACATTTCTCTAATGTTACATGTGCCATGAGAATCACAAGATGGCTTCATCCTTGCACAAATTGCATGATACCTCAAATAAAACGCTGTTTGTCACAAAATAAACCTATTAATCACATTTTAGAACATTAAAACTAAATATCAGTATATATATTACATATGTTCATAATAATACATAATAAAGGACACAAGAATGCTAGTAAATATTACAAGAGTTGTGGTGCATGTTGGAAACTACATTATGTTTGTGTCAATTAAATAAGATAGAAAAGGGGGTCAGCACAATATATTTAATATGATTTTACTTCGCTGCCTGGAGATTAAGGCAACACTGACAAATTGACTCGAGTTTGCGTTTAACCAGTCCAATTCAGCGTGGTATAATTTTGTGTACATAATCGTTTGGATCGGCCATCAATCAAACCCTGCTTGAGCAAGGGGAAATCCATCTGTCCATTAGTCAATAAAAATACAGTACTGCAAGCCTGGAGTACGCGAGCAAAATTGTAATTTTTGAAATTGAATTTGATGTCGATATTCAAGTTATCTACTTTGTACATAGCATTGGGGGCGAAACTGTAGTGTTTTATTCTCCGTATAAGTGCTGGTTGTGGGTCGACCTTCAAAATTCGGAAATTAAGCATCCCTAATACGAAGCTCAAATAATTACAGCACGACACTAACACACCTGATGCAGTGCCCATGTGAAATACACCACCAGACTAAACTGGACTAAATGTAAGAGCAGCTAGTGCGTTCCACATGATAGATCAACGAGCAACAACAAAAATTCTTCACATCTCATAGATGGTCAAAGTGATAAGGCAGAAATGATATAATAAATATTACTTTAAATTCAATTTATTAATTTCAATTAATATTAATAAAGGTAGAAATCTATATCATTTTTTTTTCAACAATACAGTCAACAACAGCTAGTAGTATCCGAGGCCACCGACACAATCAATAGCAATATCATATGTACCGTTCCAATTCGTAGGTTTCCCCCAGTAGTGGGTTGAATGGTTTCGCGAATCGTCCTTCACTTGAAGCTACCATGGATACGTAATATGCTGTGACATACTGAAAACCAATGTAAACCACATTATTAAATAAACTAGGCAAAAAAGCAATTGCCGTGCACACACTGATAGACGATCCTATACCCTACTTGTCACCCAACCTCCACCCACCCCTATACATCATTATGGGATTACCTCCCCGCAGAGGGCCCCCAAATTCCCATCCATGTCACAACCACCCAGCATCCCTCTACTTATGTCACTACTCCCAGAGCCTCTTTAATGTCTTTAATTACGTTTTTAATGTATTTACAGGCCTTTTTAATGTCAGCCACAGAAGAAACCAAGCCCTTCCTTCTGATCTCATTAAGTTCAACAGGATGCCCAGACGACCTTCGTCTCTCTATAGACAGCCCCAAGCAGCTGTACCGCCCCCCACCCCTAAGGCCCACTGCAAACCTAGCCTAACTCGAATTATCGTACCCCTAGCCACACATTGTGCACGCAAAAAATACCGGGGAGGCGAGCGATTTCGCTCCCGCAGCTTTCAAAGCGCTCTTGGTAACAACAATTACGATGAGCGAAAATTTGAATATACGCTGAAAAACGCTTTCCCGTGCCGCAAAACGTCTAGTCGTTCGAATTGTTCTGACCCGGAGACTCGAGACCCACCAAGTTATTCTGGGCACCATCTCTACCAAAACATGCCGGTCTCCTGCATGTTTTTATGACTGCTAACATAATATTATTATTTTATATATGTCAGGAGGTCATCGAATGGGACTGGGCCCGAACCATGACACTGATCAACGTATCAAAGCTGTTAACTGATATCACTTTCTCAAATCAGAAAGTGATGTCTTTTATTCAGTTAATACCTAGAAGCAAGCTGTATAACTGTATCTTACTGTTATAATTGGAATGTTTTGATGTATGTATGTTATGTTGTGAAAGCTCCGTCCGTTCAATCACAATAGCAGCCAATATTTATCAGAGGACATGAGTCCCGAGCACGTGTTGTAACTTAATACTGGATGAAAAACGGTTTGTCGGGTCTTAAAAAAGACACAAAAACACAAAAAAAAGTAAGCATTTCCTGAAAAGGTGGCCTGTTTTGTACTTCTGATTTGACTTTCGATTTCTTGTTTGCAACAGTTTCAATTTCGTTTTTTCTGAGTGTTCCTCAATGTCTGGTCTGTGATTGTCTGCAGATTTGTGTTAGCCCATAATTGTTAAATAGAATAACCATTAATAATGATAGTTAATATTCGTATGCCTTATTTCCAATAGTTTCCCAGATGCATGTACAAGTTGAATTTCATAAGAGATATTTTTTTTGAAGTCTGCATGCTGTACGTTGTACGGGTTCAGAGTGAGCACGATCCGATCACATTACGAGCTACATTAAAACATTTCTGTGTGGGTGTTTGTATTTCACTGTGTACTTGCCAAACATATGGTAATGTGTTTAACGTGTAAGCATGATTGACTTGTAGCTTTAGTATTGACAATTTCAACACAATAAAAAAAACAACATTTGTGGCAACAAACTAAACTCTCCAGATACACCTTTACACATAACACTACTGCATCGGTAACACATGCATACATTCACTAAGGCCATGCGCCTTACGCGGGTTTCAGCTAGTTACTTATAAATTCTAGGCACTTGAACTTTTCGCCGGTTAATGTGCGGCACGCTTTATCTATGCATGTGGAACCGTGGACTGGCGGAGAAAAATCTAAGTAAACCTTACCAGAACTCCCCCGACATTCCTAGAGATTGAAAACACTTATTTTGACCAACTCTAATTGCGATTAAATGATATGCTTTTTAATCAATGTTATCTTATTATACTATTTTTTTACTCCTGCTAGTAAGATACACGCGGACCACCCAATTTTGTGCAGTTCCTCTAGTCCACTAGATTTTCATCCGAATCCAAATGCGGCGACTCGAAAACCTCTGCCGACGGCCCGGGCAACAAATCGCCTTCAGGGTGATGTGCACTTGCCTGTTCAGGGCAAGCAAGGTCTTTTTATTTATTAGAATGCTATTAGGCATAATGAATTTTTGTTCCCCTTCCTTCATTGTATTCAATAATAAATCTGCCTTGCTGCGACGGATTTGAAGTGAAACATATTATGCGATAGTACCAATCAGTGCGTGCAGTCAGATTTGTTACAAAACTATGAATACAGCACATGTAACCAGGCCTCGTGTGTTAGTCACCTTATGAATTGATTGTTGCTCTTGTCGATTATCGCCAAGCATAATCATGACTTCGTTTGTGAAACACGTTTACGATAATTAGGATCACATTTTTCTGATTCTGAGACATTTAATCTAGCGCATCAAAATTTTGATATTTGCTGTATAATGTGAAATCAATCTATTTGCTATGAAAAGTAGCTCTGGCCAAGCCAAAATTAGCTCCCGTAAAAATAAAATTACGCGAGCTCTTTTTTGTCATACAAAATCAAAAGGCTCTTCGTAAAAAAAGAAAGTAGTTTTAGGACTCATGGCGTGGATCGCACCTCTCCACAATCAAAGACGATTCCAGTTGGCCTGCTACCTGTATTACTATCGACATAGATCATCAGTCCCACTGCAATACCTAGCCTAACTTGAATTATCGTACCCCTAGCCGCACATTCGTGGACACCCTCTCCCACAATTGAGCGTCAAATCAGCTTGCGTACCTGTATTCTATCGACAAGATCATCAGTCCCACTGCATACCTAGCCTAACTCGAATTATCGTACCCCTAGCCGCGTGGACCCATGATGCGTGGATGCCCTCTCCCACAATCGAGCGTCGAGTTAGCTTGCGTACCTGTATTCTATCGACAGCATCATCACAGTCACACGCTTTATCCAGTAGGCTGATGTACTCCATCCCCTCGGCAAGCCGTTGGAGGAAGCTGAGCGGCTCGTTAAAGACAACCGGCATCGTTATCTTGGACAATTCCTACGACAGAAAGACGAGCAGAGCATGTAAATCCGCAAACTATCGCACGCCCACAAAATCTTACTCATTACAGATCTCACTCGTACATTTCACACTTCCCAACTTCACACACACACACATAGAGTTCATTTCTGTCAAACATTATTTCAACTGGCACCATTTCTGGTATAAAAAAAATAGTACAACAGGTATGCCAACTAAAAAAATATCTTTATGGAAAAAAACATTAACGAACATTAACATAACACAATTAAATCCGAAATAAAAAATTAACTGTTACCATTACGTCAATCTCTACACTGTGCAAGAAACGACTTGCACAGTTAACATAATGCGCTTTATATATGTACCCACTTTCTATAACCAAATCGTAGATAGACAATATAAACTATATATATGTATAAGTATAAAATAAGTGAGTGGATTAAAGCTACTGCATACAGATGACAATTGCCATGCAGGCAGATTTCCATTTTTTGAAGATATAATGCTTCATGATCGCTACTTACACGAAGACGCTTCCATGCTATTTCTTTTCAGATGCTGTGACATTCCTGAGTCCTTTTCGCTCAGGAGAACCATGCTTGTCTGTATCGTTCATTCGACGCATAGAATCGCATAGACCGCAGCATTGGCACCGAGATAATCGAAAGTAGCCGAACATCGATGATAATATAACACGCTGTCACAATGGCCGGGCGCTAGACGATGGCGACACCAGGGTCGAAGCGATCGGTACCATCCTCAACGTAGCAGGACACGCCATAAATCATTCATCTGTTTCTACCACGTATGCAGCGCATCTACACACAGCAGCGCATCTAGCATACACACAGCACAGCACAGCGCAAGCACACACGCACACGTACGTCTTCTGAGTATGGCCGCGCTAAATCGATGAGCCGAGTGGGTGAGGCACTGGGTCTGTGATCTGCTGACGTTTGCCGGAGGCATCAGCAGCAGCAGCAGCAGCAGCAGCAGCAGCAGCACAACTACACAGCCGCCGCAATCATTACTTGCGAGAAAATGCGAGCTAGCCACAACATTAATCGGAGCATGCTATGGTCTCTGTACGTACCACTCATGCACGCACGTACCACGGGAGGAGCATAGAGCAGTCTTACAGCGGGGGCACTTTACATTACATGCATGGCGGGCGGATGGGCAGCCGATCAGGAAACCGAGCACAGGAACGATCGCATGTCCTCAATACGCCGTGACGTTGCGCGCTGACAATCACTCATATAGCGGCATAAGCCGCTATGCGCCCTACGGTATTGTTCGCTACCTGTGCTATTGTTCGTTACCTACGCTATTATTGTACAGGCCAAACGTACCGCCACAGGTGATACGTTACGATACCTACGCAGCGATCGTACAGAACGAACTGGCATTTGTAGAGACAGGTGAGGAAAAATGAAGAAAGATCGAAAGATGGATAAACAACAGACAGACAAAAAAGGCTAATGTGTTCATGATTAAATGATAGAATAGAATAATTCAATAGGTCGATTGCTAGCTAGCCACAGAGAGAGATAAAGCGCGCGCAAGCCGTACAGCCTATAGCCTTGTACGCATTCGGCTCCAGGCTTATTGGGTTTTTAGATTATGGATGTGCCATGAATATGACAACACTGTGATGTCATTGAGGCAGTTCAGGAATCCATGTTTAACCCTCCTCTTGAGGTCAAAATGTTATCAGACACCTACTCTTCGCACGCAGTGGAAAGCACTTCATGGTCCTTTCATAAAGTGATAAAAATGGGTAGGTCAGCGCTTAAACAAAAAAGTTTTTCACTCTGTCCATATTAGGGCCATGTCCTCAGAAAATGCTCTGATATCTGACCTTTCCGCCACGCCTTTGAGCCTTGCCCGAATATAAGAGCATAGGTCGCAGCCGTTAAGATTTGTGCCGCAATTCCGTATTCTCCTCATTACTAAGTTAAGGGAGAAATATTCCTCCTCCATTTACACATCTGAACCTTTGACCCTTGACCCCCAAATTTGTCATCCTGAGTCCTTTTCACGATCCCCCCCCGACGTCCCGAATATCGTGACCGTACGGTCGAGCGGTTAAGATTTGTGCCCAACTGGCGGCGGAGCGGACGCACGATCATGCGATTCTACAAGCTGCATCTGACTTCGTCAGATGAGCTAAAAGACGACACACTGTGGGCTACAAATTACAATATCCCTACTGACTCCGTGATTCAAATGAAAGCTTGATATTCATGATTATGCCACTCCATATTTTTCTCTCAATGAATGTAGTATACCTTTTACTAATTCCAACACTGATAAAGTAACTTGGCTCTCAGCCTCTCACAGCTAGGCGGGCCTGCGGCAACTGTACACAGGCTATAGTACTAGAGCTAGGGTACTGCATGACCTAATATGTATAGTATCAAAAATATAGCTATGCAACGAATATATGGTCATCATATATCTAATACACAAACATATATGCCACTACTATACACATACATATGCTCATAATAATATACAAAATATCTGTGTAACAATACTCATTTACCATCTGTATAGGAACATGATAATCAGGGTATCACTATACCAGCTACCCTATGCACATTGCACACACTCCAAACATATTACCAAGTGTCCCTCCCCCTTCTTCCCTCCCTACCGCCACAAAGCTAATTAAGGAACAAATTAGTGTAACAAATTAGTGGAGACAACATAAGTGTAAGTGTTATGGTAGGTGCCAAAACACAACCTTGTATGAGCATGTAATTTCTTCTAGTTGAGGAACACGGCCAATAATAACATGATTGTGGTAAATGATTTAGTATAAATTTCCACTCCATCAACAATAATTCACAAACCAATGAAATGCGTGTAAGCGCAGGTAAAGGTGCACTAATGAGTAATAGATCATTAGATGATTAGGTCAGGTGCATGGCACGCAAGACCCTGGTGACCTGGAGATAGTGGCGTACTGAATATCAACTTTTTACGCAAATGTGCAATTTGAATGTCGGAACAAGTGCCGGATGGAGCGGACAGCGCTCATCTTTACGGTCTACTGCGGTGACTCTGTGGTGGAGTGGCTGGCGATTCTAGTAAAACCCTGTTAGTCCCAAATGTGTTCACATATGCGCCAAACAGTCGGAAGGCACAAGGATGGTATCAGGAACAACCCTCAAAGGAATGTCTTCGTTGGATCGTTATGAAAGTTGCCACGAGTGTGCGTGTACGTTTAAGTGTCTTAATATTAAGATGGAAGCTCCCATCGCACGTAGTAGCAACAACTATTTGCAAGACAGAATAGGTAAGGATTCATCCATTTAGCTACGCCAAGCCTACAGCCGAAATTAGAGAGCTGCCACCTGTAACTAATTAACGCAGGCAAAACTACACAGTACTTCACCACCACACATGCGCCACTGGCCAGTGGCCACTGGCAGTGGCTATAAGTTACATGTAAAACACTGACAGTACAGAATTCCATGGAAAATTATACGATTTAAGGAAGCATAAACCGTTCTTCAACCCAATTTAGCTTTGGAAATTTCACTGTGACATTGTTAGCCTCATACATCCAGGCATGTATAGATTCTACTGGCAAACCCGGCAGTCAAATTCTTTCTAACAGTAAACAATTCCATGTTTAACCCACCTCTTGAGGGTCAAAGTTATCCGACACTTACTCTTCGCATGTCACAGAAAGTACATTTTATGGTCCTTTCAACTAAAGCCATAAAAATGCTAGGGTCACCGCTGAAACAAAAAGTTTCAATCGCTCTGTCAGACCATGTCCTCAGAAAATGTCTAAATCTGCCCTGTGCCCATTGACCTTTGACCTGTGACCTCCAATTTCGGCACCAGTATGGCTTTTCCTACCATGATGCTATACACCGACTATCACGAGCCCTAGGTCTAGCGGTTTAGATTTTGTGCCGCAATTCTGCATTTCCTCCCTATACCCTTAAGTTAAGGAGGGAATGTTCCCCCTTCTTTTACACCATCTTGACCTTTGACCTTTGACCCCCCAGCTTTCGACATCCCAACTCGGTTTTCGGGATTACCCCCCCACGCCCGAATATCGTGGACCGTACGTCGAGGGTTAAGATTTGTGCCAAGTGTTGACGGACGGACGCACGGCGCACGCCGACGACGGACAATCATGCAAGCTACAAGCTGCATCTGACTACGTCAGATGAGCTAAAAATTATTTGCTCGAAATTAGGTGTACACGAAACACGCTGCAGGTGAAAGTATATCAGCGCACAGTAGCGTGTTTTGGTCGCGTTCGTGACCTTTCATGACCTACAGTAAGTAGGTCTATGCGTACCAGCTGCCTATTTTCGCCTACTGGTTTTATACAGGCGCATCTGCACCGCACTGACACACTCCAACACACATGCGCGTTATAAAAACACGTTTTGCGCGGGATCGATCGTATAGACGCATCGATCGGATATGCGCCAAGATGCGGTCATACATATATATCATGATTTATTACGATTTACATCATCATTACACGTGTATCAAGAGTACATAATAGGAGATATATTATAACTCTACATATAGGAGAGACACACATAGGATTACATATAGGACACATATAGGATTACATATTCTCCTATTATGTACTCTTGACGTGTATCCATGTCAAGACATTCCCGTTTGTATTAAACCGCGCCGAGCCAACGCCTATACGTGCTCACCTAGTATACGTTCCCAAGGCCTTTATAATTTACCACGCTTGCTTTACTAAGAATCTGCATGTGCACCAATGTCTTTTCACATTCGTTACCCGGTTTGCTCCGTGTACCTTGATCGTACGTGTTCGGTGAGTAAGTAGGAAGGAATTTGTTCAGGTAGTGACAGATATGTGTGTCGACACAACCAGAAACATAGTTAAAGGTAGCGAAGCAAAGAACTCGATTGATTATAGACCGAATTCTAATATTTATTAGATGCAGTATAACGGCGCATAATACATTCATTGCCGATGCTGTTCATAACAATGGATGTAT